TTGCGTGGGACGAGTCTATTTCTTTCCACTTTCTACAAAGTGGTATCGAAATGAAGCCTCGTACAGTCTTTCAGAGAATCTATACACTACATGCTATTTTAGATTCTCCTCCTTTTCCCACTCTTCAGTCTGGCATGATTTTTAACGTATCTTATAACACCGTCTCATTTCCCGGTCTTTCTAATTAATTCTAGCCACTTCAGAATAAATCACGATTATATATATAGTTTATTCATTAACGTCAATTTATGTCGTCGGTCTCACATTAAGAGGTATATATTGAATTTGAATCCACCTTAAAAATAAGTATATACAGATCGACCAAAAGTTTCGCAAAGAATTGAAACAGATCGTCTTTAAATTACTTTAGAAATCAAATCCACGTGCAGCTACAGTGGGTTCCTTTATCAACTTTAAGACTTCCAGTCTTCGCTCACATTTGGAAACGCACTAATCTTGTTTCTTTTACGTATAGTTATATAGTTTTCCGGACGAGAATAAAAGCAGTTAAAGCCACTGAAGGTTACCGTACGAACGGGCAACTCGAAAGGAATCGCATATGTAGTTAGTGAGGTCATTTCAACTTTCGTCTTATTACCTACATTGTCGCTAGATTTCGTTGTCAGTGTCCTTCAAAATTTTACTGCCTTCATCCCGAAGGCAAATTATTGATACGTTCGTTTCAATCTTCTTCCTAGTAACAGCCAGCAGCAGTGAACTTGGAAACCCTAGGTAAGCATCAAGCATTGAAGTTAAACCACACGGCGATCGAATTTGCCGTCAGGTTATGGTACATGCATTCAATCATATATGGAGAGAGAGTTTTCGTTTGAGGGGGGGCATATTAGACCAGACTTTGTGTTCACATTGTGATGAGATGGGCGAAAGGAGAGACTGGGGAGGGGAGATAGATACAATAAAGCAAACGAAGTAGGATTGAAAAGACAGAGAGAAGATAAAGAGAAGGCTTCGCGCCCTGACAAAGTCACCTCTACTTTTGTTGTTTCTTGACTTGGCAAAACCCCCCAAGAGATCTTCACCCTGTGCTCGATGAAAATATCTCCCGACTTTATGTTTCTTTTGCTTACTTTTTCTTTTAAAAATAAGTTATTTAAATAGATACACGAAGGAAAGGAAACTCACAGACCAGTCATGTGGAGTCGGCAGTGGAATATAACTGGCACTCTCAAAGGCACAGGATTCCATGCTTTTTCATTAGTTTAATTTCTTTCTTTCTCTCTCTGTCTTTTATTAGAATTCATAATCTTCTTTTATTAGGTTCAATTCTGGTCCAAAGTTATGACTTTAAAAATTTTATACAAACACCTTCAATTTTTTCAAATTTCATTTACCTTTTGAATTTTTATTTGGAAAAAGCTATTTTTCTCTTTATTTGAGAATCAATTCGAAGCATTTGGACATTTTTTACTTTCCCCGTCTTTATAATTAATTCAGAAAAATTATCCAAATGTATTCAATGATCAAAATCAATTTTTGCCAATTAAAATCCAAACACACTTAAGCATCTCTGTTACAATGAAATTGAAAATAAGAAAAATTCAATTGAATATTGACCAGCAGAATAGGTGCTTCGACATTATTAATTGAATTTGAAGTCAATCACAATCCATTCATGTAAAGAGAGCATATATCTTCTTATTCTGTTCATAAATCTTTTTTTAAAAAAGTCTTTAGCAAATTTCTATATATAAATAAAACTACAAATTTATGAGGATAACGCCAATCTTGCACTGACGCGGGAACAACATCAGCAAAGTAAGATCGACCCTGCTCTTTGCCAAACCACAAGCAGTGAAGAGGGACGCCCAGCAAGAAAAACAGTTAAGACGGTTTAGTTAGGCCTAATAGAAGCCCAATAAATGATGAGGGCCTTGCTCTGATGCGTGTCCTCGGGAATTTGTTAGTATAGACTGTCAACTTCTCTGGACAAGCCCATGAAGTCTATTTCGTGTTAGTCTTTTCGAGAGACGTTTTAAATTTCATATTTCTTCATTTCCTGCACTGAACCCGTACTTATGATTTATTTATCATCCAACTTTCCTTCTGGCGCTTAAAAAAAAAAAAACGCAAGCGTAGTGATTTATTAAAAAAAAAAATAACACACGGCATAGTAGTTATGAAATCAGGACTTCACTCGCAAGTTTCCACGTCCGTTAATCAGCAAAATATCAGGCTTGCCTGCTTGGGAGTTGGGCGGAGCCATACATGACAAGTTTTAAATGTATTTGTGGAACTAACCTGAGATGACCGATGAGCAAGGTATATAAAATCGGATTGATCATTGAACCAGTCGCGATACTGGATTACAGATTAGTGATTCAACCGAGGGTTGAATCGGTCATAAACCGGTCATGATTAAAATAATACAATTTAAATAAAAAGATATTAATTATAAAAAAGTCAATCAAATTCAACCACTCAAAAGTTCAACAATAATAAAATATAACACTTTAAATATTAATCCTTAATTCCTTACAATTACAATCCTTTAATCATTAAAAAGTCTAAAAGTCTAAAACTAATATTCATCATAGTCATTTCATTTCTTCAAGGCAGGGTTTGAAAAAAAAAAGCCCCCAAAATGATGTCTTTTGGGGTTTTACCCTGAAAAAAAAAATTAACCCAATTAATCCAGTCAAACTATCAGGTTGGCTGAGTTATACTGGGTTGACCGAGTTAAACTGTGTCAGTCTCACACCAATTTAATCATAAACCCAGAGGGGAGAAGGGATTGGATTGTCGAGTTGACCTGGTCGATTTGGGTTTCTAAACCATGCCGATAAGAGATCAATAAAGAAAAAAGAGATTTGGCCTCCAAAAACAAAGAAAAAGAAAGGGCAAAGAAGCTGGTGCCTCTGGTTGGAGTTATTAACATATTTATTTTAGCTTATTTTATAAAAAAAATATTTATTTTTTAATTTATTTTATGAGTTTTTATTATATGTTTTAAATTTTTTGAAAATAATTAAAATTTAAAAAATATTTTTAATTATTTTAAAAAGTTACTTTTAAGTAGTTTTTAAAAATAATCTTATGTGGCAAATGAGAAAGAGTATTTTAAAGAAATAAAATACTAAAAAATATTATAAATTTTTAAAATAATATAATAATAAATTATTTTTATAAAATAAAAAAATAAAAAATATGTCACAAAATTGAAAAATAACCAACAAATTACTTATAAAATAATATAGTACCCATTCATTTAATATTTAAAAATAAATAATTTTTATTTAGTTTAAAGGTTTTGTAAAACAAAATTTTATTTTATCAATATTTTATAAAATTTAAAGAAAAAATATAATTATTAGTCCTTATATTTTTATTAGGTTTTATTTTTAATTTTTTTATTTTTAGTCTCTATGATTTTTAAAAAATTGGATAATGTTTATTTTTTAAATCCCAATATTTTTAATTTTTAATTTTTATAAGGATTGAAAATATTAAAAAAATAATAGCTACTAAAAGTAAAATTAGTTAAAACAATGAGAATCAAAGATTATGGACTTTTTTAAAATTATTTTTATTTTATTATTTTAGGAATTGATGTTCTATAAAATTTATTTTAAAAAACAATAAGAATAAATATTTTTTACATTATATGTCTTTTTAAATTTAAAGTATGTGTGGTTGAGAATTTTTAAAGAGAAGGGGAGGAGCTCCTCTCCTCTCATTTAGTTAAGAAATTTTGGAGGGGAGGGGAGCTAAAATAACCCCTCCTCTCCCCTTATATTGCTTCCTTTTAAATTAGGATTTTTTTTGAAAGAGAGTTAATTTTTTTGATTATTTTTCCCTTATTTAATTTTTTATATGTTAAGTATACTCATAATTATAAAATTTTTTCTTCATATTAGATTGTATTTCACTCCCAAGTCAACTAGCCTCGTTGAATTTTTTTAAAAAGTTACATTTAATCATATTTTATTATATATATATATTTATTTATTTTTTTTATAAAAAATTATTAAATATAATTATTGATTTAATTTTTTTCACATATTGACAATATGATAGGATGAAAGTAAATTTTTAAAAAAATTATACAATTTAAATTGACGTGTAAAATTATTTTCTATAAAAAAATTTAAAAATTTTTAAATTAATGTATAGTGATATAAAGTAAGTTAGTTATTAACTCCCTTTCCCTTTCAAATTAAATAAAAGATCATTAAAAATTCTTTCCCTCCTAAATTACATGGATACTAATACATGTTCAAACACGTTGATACTTTAATTTTTAAAAATATAAGATACGACACATTTTCAATATGTGTATATATATTTATAAAAAATATTAAAAATATACTTTTAATTTAGAAAGTATTTAAATTAGAAAATATATATAATCCTTCATAATAATACCAAGTAAAATATAATCATTAATTATAGTTTTATTTTATCTATATATAATTGTTTACCATCTAGTCCTTACTAATATGTATAGTATTAATATTTCTTCTTTTCAACCATCATAAGATTACATTTTTTACATTTTTATAATTAAAAAATATAATATTTTTTCTTTTATTATATTCAAAATTATTTTTTAAGAAAAATATAATTTTTGAATTTAAAAGTAAAGCAAAAAATGATATTAGTAATAAAAAGTTTAATATTGCAAGTTTTAATAATTTTAATTTTTTAAAAAGTTTTATTTTTTAAATATTGATTAGTAATTTAAAAGTATTCGGTATATATCAAAAATTAAAATTTTTAAAATTAAAAAATATTATTGTAATACTTTATAAACACATAATGAAAAAATATCGGTGAGTATTAATATCAAATGCCACCTCGATATGAATTTGTGAGGTAATTTACCTCTAACAAAATTAAATAAAATAATATTAAAATTTCCTCCTCATCTCCCTCTCGAACCAAACAGTTGAGCGAAGATACCTCCGTGAGCAAAACGTGGCAGTTCGCAAATAAAAAACAAGGCCAGCAAAACAAAACGTGGCAATCCGAGTTTGCTTGTTGGGCCCACCGTCTTCCACTCTGACCTAACACGAAAAGAAGGAAGACGGTAAAGGATTGCGAACCCGCGGACTCGAGTTCCGAGCTCAAAATCCGGAATTGGGATAGCCAGCGGAGGGAGTCAAGGCTGTCAACATGATCTCTCAGTTCTTTGTGCTTTCACAGAGGGGCGATAACATCGTCTTTCGTGACTGTGAGTTTCTGTCCTTTAATCTTATCTATGTACTGCTCCTTCACTCTGATCAATTCCATGATTCCATCTTCTTTTCCCATTTGGGTCACGGAAGCAGGAATTAAATTAAATTGTAATTAATCATGGAAAATTCGACCTAATATGAGGGTCTCTCGTTTTGACCAAGTAATCGCTCGGCTAACTGTTTCCTTCCTTCTCACTTCCGAGCAGTCGAAGCGTTATTGCTTCTGTAGCAGAACATGCTTCCCCATTGACCATATAGCTGCCACTGTTAAGTGCTCTGTTGTCCGTGAATTTGTTCTTGGTTTTTCTTTACACTTGTTTCATTCTTTTATTTGTTCATGAATGCCATAGGACTTTATTTATCTCACATGTGACACTTAGACATTTTAGAGGGCCCTCCGGCCTGGCTTTATAGGTTCTTTACTTTCAATTACCATCCTCATACTAGAAGGAAACCCTTTCGTTTGATATTCATTCAATTGTATAGCAAATTTTCCTTTTCAGGAATGATGGTGGCTGAACTTCCTATTTTAACCAGTCCCCGTAGGCGATTTATCCAAAAATATATCGTTCACAAATTCTTTCTTTTTCGTGGGCAGCGTTAGTCATAAATAATTTACACTCTCCTGACATCGCAGTAGTCATGCCTTATCACTCACTAAGAAATGCAGAAATATTAAGAAGGATAGTGCTCCTTGCAGATGCTAAGAAAGCCGGCAATCACTATAAACGTAGCGCAGGCCACAAACAAGAAAATTAATGCAAATGAGCTCTCGAATCCATCTGCGTCTGCCTAGGATGGTCCCGAAACAAACTAGATGTGAATAACCGAGAGAGATGAATTAATCAATTTTGTTCTGACTTGTGGCAATTCACAATTTTTTCTTCTTTTTTTTTTAAAATTAAATGCAGATCGTGGCGACGTACAAAAAGGGAGCGCAGAGACATTTTTCCGCAAAGTGAAGTTCTGGAAAGAGGATGATGAAGGAGACGCTCCTCCTGTATTTGTCGGTATTCTCTACATGATAAGAAATTGTTTCCTTTCAATTTTTTGATTCATAGAATATTTTTATAAATTCCTAGTAGAATAAGGCTTGTTGTTGTTACTATGGTTGTATTCCTAGGCAGAATTTTCCAGGAACATCATATCTGAGATTGACAGTTCTGAGACATATCTCTTTGCCTTGAGTAATTCATCAGTTTCTTTCACCTTTAGTCATGGATTACCCTGTTATTTCTTTGCATTTTCTTATTAAATTGAAGGGAAAAAAAAACATAGATTCTAGACAACTTTTCCTCAATTTCATCCTAATCATTAGTTTGTCCTGTTGTCTCATCTGACGCTGTTTTTTTTTTAATAGAATGTAGATGGCGTTAACTACTTTCATGTGAAGGTTTCTGGGCTATTATTTGTTGCCACAACAAGAGTCAATGTCTCGCCTTCTCTTGCTTTGGAACTTCTGCAAAGAATTGCTCGTGTCATCAAAGATTACCTTGGAATTCTTAATGAAGATTCATTGCGGAAGAACTTTGTGCTCGTATATGAATTATTGGATGAAGTCATTGTAAGTATTTAGTATTCTTCCTTGGTTCCACTGAATTTGGAGTACTTGTCCAAAAGTATCATCCAGCAATGCATTTACTTTGTAATTGAGGTGGTTTAGGCTTTGGTGAACAAATCATTTGCACGTTGTCTTTATGATTCTAAGATTCATACATTACTTTTGGTCATTATCTTCGGTGATTCCTTTCTTTCAGTTTCTCATCTACAGCTGCTCTTCACTTTTCATTTGCCTAGTCTGAGAATCTCCTCTTAACTCTTCATGATGATCTTTTGTGAAATTTTCTTATGATAATTTCTCAATGTCTTTGGTGGTTTTTATGGATTAAAAACAAAATTGAAACTAAATTCCCTGCATTGTATGACTTATATTAATAGTTACGAACATTTGAATTCTGTTTTTACTTTTGTCTTTAATTTTTTTTTAAGCTTGTCATTTTGCCATGTTTATGATTCCATCATTTCATTTTAATCAATATGTACGTTTACTGAAATTTATTCATACCAGGATTTTGGATATGTCCAAACTACATCAACTGAGGTTTTGAAGTCGTATGTTTTCAATGAGCCAATTGTGGTTGATGCTGCACGATTGCCTCCCCTTGGTCCAGCATCCATTTTTATGGTAACCGCTTTTATAGTCAGTTACATGCAATAGGCATACGCTGTTGGTTGTCAAGATGGATTTATGATCTCATTCCCTTTCAAAACACTTGTATCTGCAGCAAGGGACCAAACGAATGCCAGGAACAGCTATCACGAAATCTGTAGTTGCAAATGAACCTGGGGGTAGGAAAAGGGATGAGATTTTTGTTGACGTGATTGAGAAAATAAGTGTTACATTCAACTCCAGTGTGAGTTTTTTAAGTTATTTTTATCTGAAGATTTTTCAATCCCTCTTGCTGTATGTTTCTCTCTTATAGGCATCTATGAATTCAAACTTTTGAAGCACTTTGACAAGAATTTATCACTCACTTTGACAAGAATTTATCACTGGAATCAGGGATTCATACTTACTAGTGAAATAGATGGCACCATCCAAATGAAGAGTTATCTTACTGGCAACCCAGAGATTCGACTTGCTCTCAATGAGGACCTAAGTATAGGAAAAAACGGTAGGTCAACTTGTGGTATAGTTTGTTTTCCCAGAAATGCTATTTGGTTTTTTTTTTTTTACTCCTCTTGTTATGAAGCGTGGTCTTTACTGTTTAATATTACATGGCTTCCCCTTTGAGTTTTGCTAAATCTTTTCATTCTTTCCTGATGTCATTCAGTCTTCTCTTTTGACAGACTATAGAAGCTCAGGGGCTGTTGTCCTTGATGATTGTAACTTCCATGAATCTGTACACCTTGATAACTTTGATGTTGACCGAACTTTGATCCTGGTAATGCATGGTTGATCACCAATTCACCATCGATATATCAATTTGAAAGGCTTGTACGATGAGTCTCTTGACAAATCATTGCTTCATTGTAGGTGCCACCTGATGGTGAATTTCCTGTCATGAATTATAGAATGACTCAACCATTTAAGCCACCCTTTCGTATAAATGCATTGATTGAAGAAGCAGGACCTCTTAAGGTGATTTGAACTCCTATGATTTTCTAGGTCTTGATCTCTTGTTTATCAAACTAAAAGTTTACTGTATTTTCATAGGCTGAAGTGATAATCAAAGTGCGAGCTGAGTTCTCCCCAAGCATCAATGCTAACACAGTTCTCATAGAGATGCCACTACCAACATTTACAACTCGGTATTTCAACCATCTTCCTGGTTCATATACATATAAGTTACATTGCAGAGGCACATATTTTGCTGACACAGCCTAATACACATTAAGTTTTAGTTTGAGGTAAAGGTCATTCTTGGGTTTTATGTCCTTGTTGTACCTTTTACATTACCTTTGACCCACTGAACCATGATGATAAAGATAAACAGGATAAGGATGATGAAGCAGATTTTGAGACAATATGATTGAACTTTAGGATTTCCTGATATGGGTGTACACATCTCAAAAGCAAAGCAATGGGTGCTTTATTGTACATTTGAAAGTCTTCTTACCATCCTAATTGCTGGTTTTTCCTACCTGCTTGAAACTCTCAGTGTTAACTTTGAGTTGGAGCCTGGGGCTGTTGGAACAACCGATTTTAAGGAAGCAAACAAGAGACTGGAGTGGGGCATAAAAAAGGTATTTCTTAACTTATGATCTGTTATATTTCCCAGATGATTGATTTATACAACACAACAACAAAGCCTTTATCCCACTAGGTGGGGTCGGCTACATGGATTGCAAGACGCCATTGTGCTCTATCATTTATTAAGCTTTTAGAACTATTATTAATTAAGAGATCACGTTCAAAACTTCCAGAGTGTTCTTTAGGCCTTCTCTACCTCTCTTAATCGGACTCCAAGTTATATGTTCCATTTTCTCTGGTGCCTCCCTTGTCTTCTTTGTACATGCCCAAACCAATCTCAAACCGATTTTACCATTTTTTCCTCAAAGAGGTGCCACCCTCACTTTTTCACGTATGTGCTATTTCGAATTATGTTTGATTTTATGTTTTCACAATTATTGTCTTAGCTCCACTGAAGTTTCCATTGGCATCATTGAGGCTATTAGATATTTTGTAAGAGTGGATTTATAGTGTTGAATGGTCCATTCACTGCAGGTTGTGGTGGTGGAACTGAGCATACTTTACGTGCAAAACTGACATTTTCACCAGAAATACATGGTACCCATGCTACTGTGAAATTTCTTCTTCTTCTTTATTAAAAGATCAAATAAATTAAAATAGTTACACGGACATAATCGACACGACAAACACACACAGAAACATAAACATGACCGAAGCCTTGCAACAAACAATATTTAACTTGTTGTATTGGCACAATAATTTAACTTGTTTTGGATGTTTGACAAAATATATTCCCGCTTCTATAATTTATTGTTTGTATGAGCACAGGAAATATATGAAGGAAGCTGGGCCTATTAGCATGTCCTTCACTATACCCATGTACAATGCTTCAAGGCTTCAGGTAAAAATATAGGAAAAATTTTTGAACCTGCGTTTTAAATACACTTCACGTTAATTGGCTGAAATTGAATGCCTTGTTCTTGAAATTTTTCATGGTTCTGATTGAACAATGAGCCAGATCTGGCTAGGGATGTCGTGACAAAAGAGTTCTCTTTATCTAAGCATTTAAATGGTGTCTGTCTATATCATTGGCCAAAAGAAAAACGGCTTCTGTCTATTATATGGAATTTTTTGTTGAATCTGGTTTTCTAGTCCACTATGGCAAGAATTCCAATACAATTAAAGATTAACCTATTATCTACAGGTAGATAAACTGGGTCATGATCTTTGTGATTTTAAGGATATCATATAATCAACTTTATTACCCGTTATTGCCAGCTGTTTCTCATATTTTTTTCTACTTAATTTGCAACTTTTTTGGCCTCGAGTAATTTTAAGATCCCGTTTGTTGTGCCACAGGTGAAGTACTTGCAAATAGCGAAGAAGTCAAAAGCGCATAATCCGTATCGATGGGTTAGATATGTCACCCAGGCAAATTCATATGTTGCTCGGTTGTAAAACAATCGCATTTCTCCGAATTCTATAGCTGCCTACCTTTTCAACGTATTTTGTAATAATTAGTGTGGGCCTCCAATTATAGGCTTGGTAAACATGTTATGTTATATACTAAGTAAATATTTCACATTAATGTGGCCGTGAATCATTCCAGAAAAAACTGACATTCTATGATTAGGTTGACCGGGTACTGGATCTTGTGTCCGTTTTTCAACACTTCAGGTCAAAAGATGGTCTGGTTCCCAACGTCGAAAACAATAATCTCTAGTAAACTGAATTGAAATTAAAAATTAAATTGAATCAAAGTAAATTTTATTTATTTGATATGATTTATTTGGTTTTTTGATTTGATTTATTTTTTTTAAAAAAATTTATTTGATCTATTCGATTTGATTTAAATTAAATAAATCGATTCGATTAAATTATATATATTTATGAAAATGTAAATAAATTTTTATTTAGGTGAGTAAAAAATATTTTTCTACCGCTTGCAGTAGGTTTTTTTTTTTTTAATGTAATGTTCTAATTTTTTTATAATTTACTTTTTAATGCAATAATATTAAGTTTTATTAATTTTTTTGTAAATTATGGTATAAGACTGTTATTTTTTAGCCTTGAACATCTCAACATCAAGGAATAAAAAAATTGAATAAAAGAATATATGAACAATTAGACTTTATAGATTCAAATTAAAATTCATGAACTGAATAAATTGATTGAATCAAACCATTATAATTAATTTCGGTTTTATTTCAGTTTGATTATATATTTGGTTTGATTTGATTTAAATTTTTTTATATGAATTAGTCGATTGAGAAATTAAAATTAAATTGACCGAATGCTCACTCTTACCTAGAATAGAAATATGAAATGCCTTGTGGAAATCTTTCGTTAGGGGTCTTAAAAGCAAAAACTGTTTACTTTTTTAGGTGAAGGGGATGCATGAGCGGAATTTTGTGGATATCAATGATAATTAGTTGTGTGAGAATGTAACAGTTGGTCCAATAGCAAACATGATCTAAGACGATGTCATAGCCTACTCGTCTTATGGTGGACACCAAGGCCTTTGTTTGATATGTAGGGATAGATTTTGATGAATTAGAATTGACATTGAAATTAGATTTGAGATTGGAGTTAGAATTGAGATTTTAAAAGCATATTATTATGGAGTAATATTTAAATGAAAAACATGTATTAATTTTATTTTATAATCCATCAGAAAGTATCAAAATAATATAATGCCCTTATCATTGACCAAAAAAAAAAACATAATTGAAGGGGAACGAGGAAGAAGATGAACAAATCTACATGAAGATGAGAATGAACTTGAACTCAAATCTAATACAATCACAATGAAGGAAGACTTGAACCAAAATCTAAAACTCAAACCCATCAATGATGGATGTCAAACCCATCAATTTGTAATTCAAACCTAAATTTGAAAAAAAGATGAACTTGAACCCATTAATGATGAACTCAAACCTATTACTTATTGTGGATGTCGATGGTGGGAAGAAGATGAACCAAGATCTAGCATACTCGGACCCAAATCCATTAAAGCCAAACTCAAACTCGAACTATCGTTGCTGATGGTAGGAAGATCTCTTGAACTTAAACCCATTATTGTGGGCATCAATGGCAAGAAGATCTCTCTATGTCTTTCATTCTAGGGGCATAGCATCGCTAGCAAGGGGCACAACGTCATTGCCGATGGCAAAGGTTGAGATGGGAGATGACTCCGATGAGAGAGAGGTATGGTGTGAAGGAATAATTTGATCTAAAAAATTTTAGTTCTTGAATTACTTTTCTAGTACCAGCTGAGGTGGTATTAGATATCCTCACCTAGATGGGATTGAACTTAAAAGTAAATTTATCATTCCCACCTACTAAACATAAAGACTTAGTATTACTCAATTCTAAATTCAATCCCACTCATTCAGTTTTACGTACCAAACAAAGACCTTAATGTGTTATGTAATGGCACAGGTTATAGCCCTGGGCCGGCCGTTGGCGTGGGGAGGGGGGTTATGTTTTCTTTAGTGATAGAATTTGTTCCCCAGTTCGAGGAGAGTCAAAGGCCATTGAATTGAGCTGTGCTTGTTTTGACAAGAATTAGATTCCCATTATTGATAATCTCTTACAAGTCAAAAGGATGGATCCATGATGTCGCAAAGTTCTTTGCCTTTTCTCGCAAGTATATTTATTATATTTGGATTGAATGATTATTAAGCCAAAGCCTAAAGTCAGTGTAGCCTTTGTTTTAGGGGTACATCAATTAAAGCATATTTATTCAATTTAAGAGGCGAAACCATGGATGAACACTGAACTGTCCAGTTCATCCGGAATGTCGTTTCTTAACTTTTATATTTTAACAAGAATCATGTCTAATCATTTTGATCTCAATAAGAATCCGTTGAAACTGAAGTAATCTATAAGAAAAGCCAGATGATTTGCTTGCTGATAAATCTGATTTTAATCAAGTGCTACCATATATGGTCCCTCGTGGCTGGCAATTCATGGTAAGTTCATTCGAATTCATTGATGCTTCATTTTTTTCTTCGGGTCGACTCTGGCCATGGCAATGAGCCAACTGATGTCTAACAGACTAAATTATGAATTTTCATTTAGAGAATCGTTAAGTATAGACAAACTCGTCCCTGTTATGAATGTACGTTGCACGTGATTTTGAGAAGCTCTTCCTCAAACCTGACGGGACCAGCCAAGAATGTCGTGAGAATGGAGGCAAATAAATCTTATAGAAGAAGTGCACTTGATAATTCTACAGGCAAAATCACTCTTATTCCCTTGTAATTCACGAAATTATTTTAAAATTTCGTATTATTTCTGCACAGAACAACCACGTTAATTCGGGAAGGCAGGAAGGTTAGGAAACACGAAAAGAAGTGCAGATGGGCAAGGTACTCACAGCATAGGCAGTATCCTACAATAATGAAACTCGAAGAAACTGCGTTATCCACTGTGTAACCATGGAGTCACATTATTGTCAGAGAGACACGTGACTGAGTTCTCTGCTTCCCACCGCCCCCCCCCCCAAGTTGCATATGAGGGTGCCAGGAGGCACTTGCAGCGCAATGATGAATCGCATTCCTTGAGGTTAGATGTGCATTTAAAGACGATATGACAGGTTGAAATAACGACGGCGAAACAGAGTCCTTCACTGTGCTTGCTGCTTCGTTTGACCATTTTAATGTCGGACCAACCAAAGCTTTTACCTCATTTCCAGCTTCACATGTGTACCTCGACTTTACTTTTTGTACCATTGGCCCAAAAAAAGCAAAAAAAAACTTCTAATATGTTTCACAACCTGTTTTTAAAAATAATTTATTTAATACTGTATTTTAAAAAATAAATAATAAAATATTATTTTTAAAAACCAAAAATAACTTTTAAATATTCTAAAATTATTATTTAAAAAATAAAAATTTTTTATTTTTATTTTCAAAATATTAATTTTTAAATAATAAAATAAAACAGTCCTTTCAATTTTTGCACTCACTCCCCTTAAATTACCCTCAAAACAACAGGCATTTCATTTTCACCGGGAACACAGCCGTGGAGCGCTTCAATGTTTTCTGTGTTCTCTCCATGATTGCTTCATCCCAGAATTTGCGTTTGTATCTCAGCAGAGTTTAAATTCTGGCCCACACTGGCAGAAATTCTGATTCATCATGATGTGAATGCTTTCATGTGTTAATCCATTTTCTAGCTTTTCTAAACGCGTATCTATCACGGTAACGCGACAGACGACCAATTACCTTGGTTCCTCTTTTTTCTTTAAAAAAAAAAAATGATGCATCCTCGTTTCCTTGCATATGCACGTGACAGGTGGAACGCAATAACCAGCGAAGTCATGATCATTACTCTTTTTTTTTTTTTTTTGGTAAAAAACTCATTACTCGTATTTGATCGACGTAAGATGGGAAGACTGAGAGCAGGGGAGATTTTAATAAATTTATTAAAAAATATATAAATATGATTTATAAAATTCTAATTTTAGAAAATGTAAGATAGAAATTAAAAAATTAATTAAAAATTTATAATTCTTTTTTTTAAAATCAAACACGTTAAAATCTCTTAATTCTCCCTTATTAACTAAAAAGACTGTTATATATAAACACGGGAGCAAATACATGGGAGTACTTTTAAATGTTAAGGCAGGGTAACTGCAATGCAGCATGTGCGGTCCTGCAGAGCACGTGTGGTCCTGCAGAGCACGTGGTGAATATTCTTCAACCTTTAAAAAATAATTAAATAAATTGAAAAAAGGCATGAGGGATTTTTATTTGATCGAAGGCATAAGGGTTGACATTTATTCCTTTCATTTAAAAAATAAAATATTTTTAATTGAATCTTACCTCTTAATAAAATAATTATCTACTTTTCAACTAATCATATATTTTATATTTATTTTTATTAAATACCCTATAATAAATATAAAGTTATTATTAATAGGGACACTTTAAAAAAAAAAATAATGATTACACCTTAAAAAATTAAAAATGCTTTGTATTTTTTAACATTCAACTCCTCAAAAAATACTTTATATTTTTTAATAAAGGGAGTAGCAGTTAATATCCCAGTTATTTTGAGATTATTAATCATTACCGTAATTTTATTTTAAATCTTATATATTTCTTTTGAGAAGTTAGATAAATCCCTTTCTTTAATTTTACGTGAAACTTGAAAAAAATTAAAAAGCATAACATCAGATGATATTGGGGGATTATGTTTATTTTAATTATAATCATTATAAAATTCAAATGATGTAATTAATTGTTAAATTTTAAAAAAAAGGACAATTATCATTAAAAATATATTCAAGTTAGGTAAAGTAAAATTAATAAAAATCAAAGCCAATAACACAAAAAAAATTGTGCGCTTTTTTTTTTTTTTACGATGAAGGTAGCATCATCTTAGCCTTGCCTTTCCTATATTTGGATTTAGTGACTATATTTAATATAAGCACTATGTGCCTATACCATCTACACCATTAAATTTAAATCAATAGTTATAAATGTATACTCTACTTGATATTAATAAATGAATGAGTTTATTTCATTATTGTAGAAAGTAACATCTACACCGGGTAAGATTAATTATCTACATCGGTTATACAACCAGTATAGATAAGACTGGTGTAGATAACCTATCATTAT